GGTAGTACCTTGTTTAGCATTTACACAGACCTTTTTTTGGTTTGCCCATTTCCGGAGTCATTTAAGAGTCTGAATTACCTGAGGGCCCTTCATCAGAGCTTCTTGGCAGCGCCGTTATTTTACCCCAAAGTGATGCAGCTTGACCATGTGTTCCTGTGACAGTGTCAGTGAGGGAAGAAGTCTCCATCTGAAGCCATCTGGGAAGGGGAAGAAAATGGGAAGCTGACAGTTAGTGAATGCCTACCATAGGCCATTGGTGTTTCAAGTTCAGCCTCTTGACACGTTACACCAGAAGCAAACTGTCTTGACAACTCTTTTCATTTTTGTCCTGAGTTACGTGAGAGAGAATCAAGGTTAGGGACTTTGGCTGATTGTTATCCTATCCTTTTCTGTGTTCTGTAGCTTTTCAAACAAGTGCTGTAGTTCTTTTGGCATTAAGGTGGTAAAGATTGTGTCGCTTCCATGTCTATCCTTGTCATACCCTTCTCCTGATAGCAGATTATTCCAGTGTTAGTCTTGCCACTTTAATGATCATATTTCTGACTGTGACAGATCTTATGCAATAGAGCAAGGAAATGCAATAGGAGTTGCAATCTGAGTATCACTAGCAGTAGCTTGTCACTGAATCTAACTGTTCCTCAGAGCCAAGCAATAGGAAAGTCAACAGAGCAGACAGGTGGTCAACCAAATTCTTACATGTAGCAAACCGTGATCCTTTGTCACTTCATCATTCATGCAACTTCCAGGTATGAATCTCACCTGTCCAATTCATATTTCTATTTGTGGGGCGAGTGTTGAATTTTTCCAAAGTAACCCTTCACTGTTGACCTTGCATACTACTCTGATACAAAAACCACCATAGACATAAGTTCTCTAGTATAAAATTGACAGGTTCTTTCATGTAGGGTATCATTTTTAGCCTTGGTTTGAATTCAGTACTTTTTCTAGTGTAGACAAAACCTTTTTGGTGGCAAAGCTGTGTATGACTCTCTCTCGGGCTGCTCCTTAAAAAAAAAGAAAGGAAAAAATCATTACAATCATCTGGCTTTTTTTCAACCTGATCTTGTCTTTCTCCAGGTATGATAAGGTATAAAACATTCTGAAGAATTGAGGTATTTCTAAATGGTTGTTGGTATTGTTTGTTTGTTTTGTTTTTCGATATAAGAGTGGTAGCAGTCACAAAACCTAGGAATATAACATTTTGCAATGTCTGTGGCTTATGAAAACTTGAAGTGAATAATATATTGCCTACTGGAAAATGCCTTTACGACTTAACAGTTCAGTATTCAGTTATGTCACAGCCTCCCCCTCCTCTGTGCCTAGCAGTGGTCTTTCTGCATTCCTTCACCTTTCAACTTTATAGATGTTTTCGGTATCCTCTGGGAGTACTTTTTTCACTGTGTTGATATCTATTATTGCCTGTGTTCTTCATACTTCTTGTGGTGTGACTTTGTAACCATCTCTGCATAGTATTTTTATTTTTAAGAGCACAGAGTTATTTTGAAGCTACTTGTTGCCTCCCCAGCTATGTAACTTTCTGTAATATCCTTGTCTTCTAGAGTTTCCAGTAAAATATTTGTGATTTTTTTTCACTATTATGATTGATTCAGTTTTTCTAATGTTGCAAAATAAGTGACTGGTCTGATCACACGCTTTTTTTTTTTTTTTTTTCTGCTTTCTACATTTGCACATAAGAAAATCAAGAATAAGCCTTCTCTTAGTGTTTAAGTTGATTTGGTTTTGCAAAATATTGATTTGGATCTTTCTAGAAATTTATACAGTAAAATATTTTTCATCTTTTTTCCAAACATTTCAGAGATTCATAATTATTGAAGGATAAGAGAGAGTAAGCCAACCTTTTAATATTGAATTCAGACATGGTTTTGCACAATGTTAAGGCATTCTGAAAATAACTGTAACAATAATATTTGTGGGCACTAAACTTAAAAAAGCAAAGAAAGCACTTAAATTGAAAAGGAATAAATTTATTGTAAGTATTAGGAAGAAAAATAAACTTCAGGTAGTCTGCTGAGTTCTAGCCTATACGGAGTATAACAATCACGAAGTGTCTGTGCAAGCAGATTATTAAAAGAAAGCAGACATGAGTCTGGGACATTGTCAGAATATTCTGATACATATTGGTTAATCACAGAATCACAGAATGGTAGGGGTTGGAAGGGACCTCTGTGGGTCATCTAGTCCAACCCTCCTGCCAAAGC